TTATGAACTGTACTGGCTGTTGACCACCAGACACCTGACTGCAAATATCTTTTCTTGTATTCCCATATTTCTAGACAATGATTTTTGTAAGACAATAAATTTATTCATTATAGATATTTACGCCTGCTCTATTTACTTGGAGGAAAAGTACCCATTAAGAATAAACAGACCTCAATAAACACGAATCATCATGTGAACGTGGAATCTGTTTTCTCACCTTCTGTTCTCGATTTCCCATCTGTGATCTGATTGGCGGTTGGGAGTCACACAGACTTAAAATGCTGCCAGGCCCACTTTTTCTGAGGGTGCTGTGCTCCCAAAAAGTGTCAGATGACAGGCTAAGTCTCTGGGTAGACTTGGCTACAATCTTCTCTCGCCAATGGCCTCTCTCTGTAGCTGCACTGAGACCCAATTGTTCATAGAAAAGGGAGCGGTTTCAGGCTGCAGGGTGAAGCCTTTCGGAGGGTTTCGGTCACCAACTAATGAAGCTATTTGCTGGATTAGAATATTTTAAGAGATCCAAGAAGTTTCAAACTGCATTTTCAGGCAGTATACACACTGAAAATGATTTGGGGGATTCAGTGGTAAGACCCATGGGCAGCCTCACTAGTGTGGGCCAATTAGGATGGGCTGGAGAGGAGTAACTAAGGGAGCACCAAATCACACAGAAAATACTGGCTTTTAAAAAACTATTATTACAGCCCAGCTGGTGTGGCTCAGTGGACTGAGTGTGGTCCCATGGACTAAAAGGTCCCGGGTCGATTCCCAGTCAGGGCACACGCCTGGATTGTGGGCTCAATCCCCAGTTGGGGAGCAAGCAGGAGACAGCCTATTGATGTTTCTATCTCTCCCTCTCACTCTAAAAAATCAATAAAGACATTTTAAAAATAAATAAAAATTATTACATAATATTCTTAGGTTAGGCTGATTCTGGTGGTATAAGGTATATCTCCAGGCTTCTTGGCAGTGGTAAGAATGTTATAAATGGACGCAAGTACTCATTTTCTCCTGTGTCACTACCCTTGCAGTCAGTAGCTTAGTCCAGGTGTTTGTGGAATTCAGAGGCTGGTTTTTCTCAAAAAGCAAGCATGCTTCCCATCTGTATGGCCTAACTGGTGTTAAAATCACTATTTCCCAATTACTCAGCTTATCAGGAGAAACATAATCTCCATCAACTGATTTGAGAGATACTAACTAGAAGGAACCTTTCTTTACTAAACAAACCACCGCTTCGTAGTCTAAGGAAAGGTAGTTCATAAAGCCTTTGCTGGGCATTTAAAGCGCAAGGAAGACAGTTTATGGGAGCTGGGCTTTGTGTCAAAGACTAAAGCTGGCCAGCTCCACCCAGAAGAGTGGTTCATGGGAGAAGGAATTCAGGCAAGACTTGGGAAAGAAAGCCTCATCCTCTTGTTGAGATCAAGTTTAGATGAGATGAGATTGTGGGGTTTAACGTGTAGCAAATGCTCTGTCTGCCCTTGCCACATCATGGGCACTTCTTTTTTTTTGTTATCCTCACCCGAGGATATTTTTCCATTTTTTGTACAGATAGAGTGGGAGGGAGAGAGAGGAAGGGAGAGTGAGAGAGAAACATCGATGTGAAGGGACACATCGAGTGGCTGCCACCCGCACGACCAACCAGGGCCGGGGACAAACTGCAGCCAAGGTACGTGCCCTTAGCGGGAACCGAACCCGGGTCTCTCCAGACCGCAGGCCAACGCTCTAACCACTGAGCCAAACTGGCCAGGGCTGGGCACTTCTTTTTTTAATGTGTACACTCCAGGGAATTATTTTAGATTGTTTTGGTAGGGGTAACACACCTATTACACTTAGCCTGACTGGTTTGAGGGTACACTTCTGACATCAGAAAGACTCTAGAACCCCATCACATTTCCTTTCTGCCACCAATTTTCCCCATGCCTGGAAACCTCAGGTAAAAGGAGTGTAAGCCAGAAGACCAAACTGTGACTTGTCCTCACAGCCAGCCCTCCCTATGGCTCTGGGTATGACTGACCCATGGCCCCTACCTTCTGAAGCCAATGTTACCAGGACACAGTCTGTGTCAAGACTGGGGAAGAGAAGAGCACAAAGTTGTCAACCACCACTTCCTGTCCCATCCTCACCCCCTCAAAATAAAAAATTCATGGCAGAACAGCCCACAGGATGGAATCTTTAGGAAGTGGGGAGGATAGCTCCTCCCTCAGGTTCCAGGCAGGCCTGAGAATGAAGCCTGTGGCTGAGACCCAAGGGGAGTCCCCATCCACTAAGGTCTCTAGTCACTCTGGGAAGTCCCATCTGTACCAAATTCTGAGCATTTGCAAGCAGGCTAGATCCTGTGCCAGCTGTCAGGACAAGACAGGGCAATCCACTTCCTGTGTGGCCTCATGTCATATGCAAATCTAGCAAATCATGTGAAGTGTCTCATACGATTGTCAGAAATCTAATATGAGACTATCAATAAGGGTATATTGGCATGGTGCTAGTTTTCAAAGACAGTGTTAACTATAATTACAGTACCTGTGCACTATATACAAAAAGTGTGACCATGTCCTTCAACCCTTACCAAGACTAGAAATTCATGTTTGAGTCAATACAACACTAGATTTATTTTTTCAAAGTAGCCCAATAATGGACTTCATCCCCATTATCTGGATGTCATGAAGCCTCATTCAAGATGTAAAGTGAGCCCTGACCAGTTTTGCTCAGTGGTTAGAGCGTTGGCCCGCGGATCAGAGAGACCAGGGTTCGGTTCCTGCTAAGGGCACGTACCTCCGTTACAGTTTGTTCTCGGCTCCGGTTGGGGTTGTGTGGATGGCAACCAGTCAATGTGTCTCTGTCTCATCAATGTTTCTCTCTGTCTTCCTCCCTCTTTCCGCTCTATCTGAAGATAAATGCAAAAACCTCAGGTGAGGATAAAAAAAAAAAAGATGTAAAGTGACATAATCTGACTATTAAACTCGGGGTCTGACAAGCATCTAAGCAGAGCACTGCTTCCTTCAAAGTACCATACTGCATAGGTTCTAAAACACCCAGGTTCTCACATGTGTAAACATGTGACTCACAATTACCACCAGTAGGTGGCAGCTGTGATGTGGTTGTCATGGTGAGGCCAATAAACCCCAGCATCAGATCTTGCAGAATGGGTATCAGCAGCCTTGAATTCTGGAGCCATCAACAGAATATGCTTTTCAGAAATGCTGCATCACCAATGCTCACCATGGCACAGAGGACAACACTGCTTGGGAAATCACGGCCAAGGGCAACTTGGGGCCAAAATGTGGTTCAGAATGTCAGAATTATGTCAAGGTTCAGAAACGTCTCACATTTTCCTTTTTGTATATGAATTATGTGTGATACGATGAAAATCTGTCTAAACTCTAAAAGAGCTCTTTCAATAAACATCAAAAGACGAAATGATAAGCATTTCCATAGTTCTAATAGGCACATTTTTCTTAATGATTCACAAAATAAAGATGTGTCTTATAATTGCTAGTGTTGGGGATTCTATGAAATATAGTGCTCTCCTCACCAGGCTGGTTCTGGGGTGGCACCTGGGAAAACTGTGAATTTTAAAATGCACTCAACTGGTTACCCAGCAGTCAGCAAGCCTCTGCTCTGAGCTACTTGCTCAAATCTCAGAACTTAGCACAGATCTTCAGGCCAATTTGGAATATCAGTCTCATTACTTCAATGTTTAAAAAATTAATTTGGGCAACTTTACCAAAAAAGTTAGAAGCCTAAATTAGTAAACTATTTGCATCTTTTTCATTTCACTTGTGATTTTTTTATAACTCTGTAACTAGTGTTACATGTTCATTTAGTTCATGTCCTTTTTCCACTGGTCATTTCCATTCCTATGTGCTCCACACCTGCACACTCGGGTTTCCAATGGCTCTCTGGGATCCTGTCCAGCCGACAGTCATCCTGACCATTCCCCCATCAGACACTACATTTTCACTAGTGAGATTGATTTTATTCTTACTACCACGGGAAGTTATCCATAAAGCAGAAAGAGTTTTTATAGCTTATCATGTTACGATTGATCCAAGACTTAGAGAGAATAATTTAGTGACAGCAATAACGTAAAAGTTAAGCTGTTCCCCTAAATTCTAGGTAACAGTGGGATTTACTGGGGGGGTTTCCCGTTAAAACAATAACATTTCTTAAACAAAAACAAAAACAAAAATTTTTCAGCTCCATCATCTACTCACAGGGAGCAACAAGGGCTCTGAGCTCATTTGGACGACACTCGCCGGACATCTATCCAAGCACGTGCCAGAGGCCTGCTTCCTGCCTGCCCAGCCCCCTCCCAAGCCCTCCACCAGCAAATCATGACCAGGCAGGATCTCCATATTTTAATGAGGCAGCACACTTGACACCTGATTACAAACATCCCAAAAGTAAACAAGGTGAATTTCTATTCAGTTTGCATCACGTTTCCCCCAGTGAAGGCTTCAGAGCTGACAGGAAACTAACATAACTCCTATGGGTGCAGACTGAACATGACTCCAAACTGTAACCCACAAGGCACAAACCCACATGGTCCCCCAAACCCAGCACTATAAGCTTTGTTCTGTTTTCACATTTGCCTCTTCACATGTGATATCTTATAAAGAGAGCCTGTTAAACTAATATTTACTCGAGATTATTGTTTTTCCTTAACATTTATAAAAGGGCTACAATATTCCTATAGGTCATATTTTTAGTACGCATGGGACTAGTTTTCAGATAATATGCTTTAAGTCATAGGAAGATGATTTATAAAGATGCCTCCTCTGCTGCTCCCATTTCTAGGAAAGAATAATTAACAACTAAATTTTGACAACCCTTGAAGTAAACACTGGAAGTAAACACTGGAAGGAGGAAAAGGCTCCTCTAGCATCTTCTAGGCCAGAGGTTCTCAATCTGTGGGTCACAACCCCTTTTGGGGGTCAAACGACCCTTTCACAGGGGTTGCCTAAGACATAACAGTAGCAAAATTACAGTTATAAAGTAGCAACAAAAATAATGTTATGGTTGGGGGTCACCACACGAGGAACTGTATTAAAGGGTCCCGGCATTAGGAAGGTTGGGAACCGCTGTTCTAGGCAAGGGAGAAAACAACTGACTGCTTGGACCCATCCCCCTTTCTAGCCTTATTCCCACCAGTAGCCAGACTGGCTGTCCTCAGTATTAGCCAGGCAGGGACAGATCTATAAGATGCTCCCTAAAGCTGTGGCACCACCCCAGGACACCTCCCCCTCCCCCAGGGGGTACCGGCTTCCACCTTGGCTCTCAGAAGATGCCAAAGGCACTTCTGGGACAGCTTCTGAGAGCGGCACTGTCAATACTTGACAAGCACAGGACTGGAAGAGGAGGGGTGGGTGAGCCATACTCCTCCTGCTGCAAAGGCTGTACCAGCCCCAAAGCTCATTTCCAAGTTCACAACCAGCTAGCTCATTTCCTGAGGTGATGGGAAGGTGGAGAGTATAACAGAAAAAGATACTGAGCTCACTTCCATCCTGGCTTTGCTATGGACTAGCTGTGTAAGTTCAGGCCACTCAAACTCTGGGCCCACCTTCCCTTCTATAAACTGAGGTCAACCAGCTCATCCTCCTCTCAGGTCACCTACCTCTAATTCTCATACGCCTCACTTGTGATTCAGCATCCCATCTTTGGCTTCTAGACCCTGGCTGGGTTGGTCGGGTACAGTTTCTGCCACTCTGGGCTGAAAGAAGTGGAGCACTGGCTCCTCACCCTCATGCATTTCAGGATCGAGGGATGGCACCGGGTGGTGAGATGAAAATATCTGGAAACGAGGACTCACCACTGGAAGACTCACCCCCCCTCCAAGCAGGGAGACCACCATGCGGACCCAGCTCAGGGGAGGGATCATTTCTGAAAAGTTTCAGTGAGAGCCAGGCAACTCTGGGCATTGGGCGGCACCGGGAGGAGAACCCACTCAGGAGCAGGTGGCTGGTAGGCAATCTTTACCTAGATGGGAAATAGTATGTAGTAGCTTTCATGCCAGGTAGCACATGCTCTGAGCATTTTGAACTAAATAATCTAAACAGCTGAAAATGAGGCCTGAGAAGTCAACTAGCTTCCTTACAGGGTCATATGCCAAGGGCAGCAGTAGCTATAAAAACACAAAAATATGTGGGGGTCTCCTTCTGAAAGGACTAGAAAAGCCCAGCAGCATGCCTGCCCTTCCATGGACCTGGCCCTTGCTCTCCTGGACCCAAAGCAGTAGTGCTGTCCGGTGGCTGACACATGGGCCTCTGCATCCAGGGCCCCTCCCCCTTCCATCATCGAACTGAACAATTGACAGAACCATCTGGATGAGATGATTCCAGGGGTATTCAGATTCAGCTGAAAAGGAACTGATAAATCACAGGGAAGACAGGGACAAGGAGTCAGGGCTCCAGAACTCATCCTTGCTGTAACCGCAGTAGCTCTGCTTGTTATGTGTTAGATTTGGGTTCCTGCATATACAAAAAGGTCTGCTAAATGTTTCAGCCTCTGATCTACTCCAACCCTTCCAATGACTGGGAAAGAAGCTGGGTGTTGATGCCCATCAGTAAGAGGCTTGAAGTTTTCTTTTCAACTGCTCAGCCACCACAGCTGGGCACAGTACCCATACCACTGCAAACATGTCTCGGTGAGTCAGCTTACAACACAATCTCAGGAACAACTAATAGAAGATATTCCTATAAACATATTAACAGAATAAATTTTTTAAATGTATTCTACTTAAAGTTTCTTATTCACTTAGAAATTTTATTCACTTACTTTTCATTTACTTAGTTTCAAAACTACATGCTATACTGTTTTTGCTGTTACAAGCAATGTTCAGAATGTGATACATTCCTACAGATTCCGTTTACCCACTTCTCAAGTCCAGTCCCCTTATGTCTTGCTACCAAACATTTGACACCTTCTCTCACTTGCCAACATCAACCTGAGGGATCAGGAGAAAAGCCTAGACCCTAGTGACATCTAATCCCAGGACACCAACACATATCCTGAAAGGCAGCACAATGGAGGGAGCAGCTCCCGGTACTGTGGTCATCCTGGGATCTAGCAAACTGCCTCCCTCAAAGTCCCGGTCCTTCCTCCCAGATGTGCTTGAGGGCCTGGGCCATTCTCAAGCTGCTCCCAGAAATCGCAGCAAAGAGGACAACCAGCATGAGGATGTCCGCTCAGTGTGTTCGTCTCAGGCAGCCTGAATGGTCTGCCCCACTCCACAGCTGCTACCCACTCACACGCGCCCTGTCAGGGCAGAAGTGATATCTGAACCTGGCTTTGTAACTCCAGCTCTTCTCTCACAGGATGGCGGGAACCCAATAAAGCAACCTCAATACTTTTTTGTGTGAAATTTATTGTTTCCACATTAAAAGATTTTTTGGAGGGGGAGTATTTTCTCTCTCTCTTTTTTAAACCACATGGTGATCCTATACAGCTGCCCAGAGTAGGACACCATCATAGTCATTAACATGCCGTATGAGTCTGAATAAATAAAAGCTACAAAGCCCAAGTTATATACAAATATCTTAGGCAATAATGTTTACAAACCTATGTACAATAAAACAAATGTAAACAGTAAATGCAGCATGAGAGTAATCAAAGGATGCACAGGGACAACCACTTACGGTCAGTTTGCCCCCCTCCCCCCACCACCACCCAGGAGCTCGCACCAGCCAGCCCCTGGAATCAGGCCACTCAATCCTTCCTAACACAACTGGACAAAACAAAGAAGCTGTCAAGCTGTCATGTAACTGAAGGACCAGAAAGCTGGCAAGGAGGCTGCCACCACCTCCACCCCTAGCCTGAGGCACATGGAGGAAGAGAAGACAGCATAGAGACCCAGCCCTGTTTGTACCCAGGCCCCAGAGGCTCCTGCTCTGGGAGGCAAGTCTATGGAATGATAACTGCTAAAGTAAAATCAGAAGGTACAGAAAATGTTCCCTAATTCAGTAACCTTCCTGTCTGCCAGCAACAGACCCAAACTGTGTGGGGTGGAGCCGGGGACAAACACATGATCATGAGCACTAAAGATGCTTGGGTGGGAGCTCAGGAGGGCACATGTTGACCTGATTTGGGAGAGAACTTCTAGAAGATTTGCAATGTCCTAAATACAACTAAATCCTATCAGTACAGCAGGGTGGGGGCTATGAGGCAGGTGTGATGAATGGGTACTTCTGCATCCAGTGACCAAGTAATACATGTACGTATCACTTCGTGACCCACAAAAGTGCAATCATGTGAAACCAACGGCACTACGGCGAGAAGAAAAAATAGCCAGTATTGATATCGCGCAGAGTCCTGGGGCTGGGCAGGGCCCGGCAGTCGCCACTGCATGCAGCCTGCCCTCTCTCTGCCAGCCCTGGGGAGGCAGACAGAGGGGCACAGGCTGGGCCCAGGCACCGAAGGGTGAGGCATGGGTGTCCTGGGTTGTTGGAGGAGGGCAGGAGCCCCCACCTGGAGGCTGGGCACTCACACACTGAGAGGCAGCATACCCGGTGCCGACGAAGGGCGTGAGGAGCCCAGACCAGGAGGAGGAGGAGCTGGGTCAAAGCCGTTTACTGCCCTGTGGGGGTGACCAGAGCAGAGAAGGGAAGGGGGAAGAGAAAGAGAGATTGTCATTTAAAATCACTTGACACACAGCAAGAAATTCATTTGCTCTCTCAAACTATTTCTCTTCCTGGCCAACAGCAAAATCCTGACAGCTCAAGGAAAGAGTGGCTGCCCGGAAGTATCAGTTGGTTAGACTTGAGAATTCAGTCGTCCTAGAGTAATGAGACTATGTGCCTGCTCCCTTCTCAGCAAGTTCATCACACTGGCTACTGCAGCCACAACTCTGATTTTCCCCATAGAATAGATCTAAATGTCTGCCAACACTGAACTAGCTAAATAAATAATGGTACAACTAAATAAAATAGTATATAACCATTAAAAACACATTCCACCGAATTCTTTAATAACATGGAAAATGTATTAAATGAATGTAACTAACGGTACATAAAAAAAAGGTTACCAAACTGTATATGTTCACTGATGTGAAGAAAAATAAAACCTAAGTAGTATATATTCTAGATTCTAGACTATAGTCCTCTATATAGATAGGCATTACTATCTATGTAGCTAAATCTAGGATGTATGGAGATACACACACACACACACACACACACACACACACACAATGTACATAAAAGCATATATATTATAGAAGGAAAATTTAACAACAGTTACTTTTCTTCCCTCTGGGTTATGGGTAAATTTTGTTTACTACTTTATATTTTTTAATTGTTTTCCAAATTTCCTGCAATATACATGAATATCTTAATGAAGGGGAAAAAAGTAACTTTTTTAAATTGTTAAGCGAGCAAAGCCAGATGGGTAGGCTTCTCTGCAGACTCATGAGCAACCAGCCCCGCACAGGAGTCTACATAGAGGACCCAGCACCCGAGTCCAGTGATGCAGAGTGCCCTGCCTCAGACCCACACGCCGGCAGCACAGCCATGGGAAGCAGTGAGGGAGTGAGTGCAAGGCCTGGAACCTCTCTCAGAAGCCACTTCAGGCTTCCCATCCTGAAAACTTACTAGGAAAATCTGTCCCACCAGTAATTTGGGAGATGCAGCCAACTGCAAGGAGCCGCACTGCACCACACTTGCCCACCACTGTCGTCTCCTCTCATCTACTCATCAGAGAAGTCTATCTAGAGTTGAATATAGACTCATTCTTGCAAAAAATGTACACACATTCCCTACAAAGATGGTGGTCCACACACTGAAGAGGTGAGTGTAATCTCAGAGAAACAGGTGTGCAGAGATTTGACAAATGACTGTTGTCTACTCTAAAGAAAACAATTAATGCCTGAAGAAACTAACCTCAGAGTACAGATTTTGAGTTTGAAATCAAGCTACCCACATACAGGCCAAGAGCAACAGGGGGACTGTGACACTTGTAATTTCTCCCTGCTGTACACATTTTCACACCTCAGTGATACATACCAAGGACTCCTGTTCCTTTTTGGGGCTAGTGGAGGTCTGATATTTGCACCTCATTGCATGTGAAAATTTGAACTCATCCCTCCCTACTCTCCCAAGACTATATGCTTATGCCTCCTCTAGGGATAGGGGCCCCGTCCTATATGCCACTGTAGCCCTCACATAATAAGAACCATCTGTCATTTGTCTGACTAGTCCCAGAGCCCTAATGCCTGCTTCTCCTAAAACCCCACAGAGAACTAGGCAGACCTCGCGAACTTCAGCTTTAAACAGGTAAACATCACATTGCCTGCCTCAGGGCAGGGAAACCTGTACAGTCCCCAAAACTCAGCAGAAAGGGAGCACTATGGGTACCAAGAAGAACCTGGCACCTGTTCCACAGGGGTGTGCTAAAGCAGCAACCATAAGGGTGGCTCCACCTGCAGGTTTAGGACTCAGATTTGGCATTTTTAAATTAGATGGATCTTTAAAGAACATAAAGTTCATCCCCACTGTTGCATTGCTAAGAAAACCAAAGTAGGCAAAGGTCCAGCCATTCACCTGAGTTCACCTATGAGCCCATCAATGGGGAAGCAGGGCTCATAGCCTGCCTCCAGATGTCCAGGCCATTATCCTTTCCCAGTATCCTCCTGGCCAGAGGACACCTGACAGCCCTCAGTGAGTAACCACTTTGGTGTTCCCAATGCAGGCCAGCTCTAATGGGAAAAATAAGCAGTGCGATCAGAATACAAAGGGACAAGAAATTAGGTAAGTCATTTCTCAGTATAAATGGAAATTCTGATTTGCAGGTTGGGTAGAACAAGGAGAGTAACAATCTACTAGGGTCTCACCTAGCACTTCTTTTCTGAGTCAAGAAGTGGGAAGTAAAAGACCAGAGGAGGAGAAAGCTGATCCCAGAGGTAGGATTGTCAGTCTGATGAGGTACCTTCAGGGAAGTGCAAAGCTGTGAAATGGGGAAAAAAACACCTCCACACTCACCACATTTGGATTTGGGGAGCAGATAAAGAGCCAAAGAAAAATATCCCAGTGGACAACACAGAAATGAACGGAAAGAGGAAAGGCAGGGATGGAGACACAGGTCTGGGAATCATCTATCTAATAAAGGTTACAGAAGCAATGAAATTTCATGGTCTTACCACCAAAATCTAGTTAGAGTCTGAAAACTAGAAAATCCAGGTGAGAAAAGGAACTAAGGTCAGTTGTAAAATGGCAACAAAAGTGTAAAGGGGAAAAGAACCAAGGCACATTTAGAAGCTAGTCAGGAGGACAATAAATCGAACCATGAGAAATCAAGTATGGACAGTAAGTCCATCAAAGAAGCAAGGCCAGCGTGCCTGAGAGGGCGGTAGAACAAAGCACGAGAGTGGGCCAGAGCTCGTTCAGGAGAGCAGCAGACACACCCCAGCCCCAGTGTCCCTAGTTAGATGGGCCAGGGGAAGCCAGCACAGATCAGCCAGCTAGAATCCTTGCCCCAGGCTCTACAAACTGAAATGTACCTTCCTGAAAATTAAAAAGGCAGATTTTATATCATTCCAATGTACTTTGGGAAACAAGAGTGAGTACAGAGGGGAGAGTCCCCACACAGCAAGGCTCCATAATCATTAGTGCCTGCTTTGGGGAAAAAAAAAAAAAAAACACACACACACACACTGGGTAACAGGAAGAACCCCAGGCCCAGTCAAATGTGGTCCCAGGGCCTGCCTGCTACCCTTGACCCCCACCCCCAGACTCCTAGCATTATCACTACAGCACCTGACCACACACAAAGTGCCATCAGGTCTGCCATTCACAACTGCCCCAGAACCACTACAACTCATTAGTTTTTGTTTGCACAGCTAAACCAATGATGGTATACAGTCAAGTCAAACAGGAACTTGAAAGCTCACTTATGGGCTGTAAGTTGGTTAAAGCGGAGTCAGCCCCATGCAGTTAGTAAAACCAGTTTGTTAATGTGTCTTCCACCACACACCATGATTGAAAAAGAATAAAAAAGAGCACAGCAAACAAATTCAGTTACCCATGAACAATGTGGGAAATATGACTTTTTCTTGCCTAATAAAAAAAAGGAAAAAACATTAAACAGCAATACAAATACTATTTTCACATTGTGCCCTAAAATTAGTTTATCCCCACCTACCTAACACATAGCCCAAAAGAAATCTGACTGGCTTACAAATTTAGGGTAAATGATACGTAAGAAACTAAATAAAAACTATGAAGATAAAAAGAGTATTTTGGAGAAAACTCAAGTGACTACACTACACAAGAATTCACATCCTTTCAGATGAGTGATATGAAGGGATATTAGTGAAGAAACAGAGCAACACCTGGGAAGCAGATCCAGCAAGCCATATTTTAGAAAATTGCAAAGTGAATCACAGACTAGATAAAATCCTGATTCCAAAAAGCCCTCAAATAACCAGAACTTACAGAATATTTTCAAGTCCCATAAAGTGATGTATAATAAGGGATACTGTTTAATGCAGTGAGGCCTCATTGCACCTGAAGATTTTGAGGGATGTGAGAGGGCGGGGTGTGTACACATGTTCACACACATGCGCACGCACACAAACCGACTTTGATTAACCTCCCCAAACAACGCTCCTCTAGGTCTCTAGGAGCGCCAGCGAAACTACAGTGACAGTGCTGCAGACACTCTGCTTAGGGGTGAGAGGTGGAGCAGGCATATTCTAGAGCCAGACTTCAGAATGAAGTTTTTTCTCATCCTGAAACTACAAGCTGCACAGAGTCTATAAGAACTGGCATTTCTTCTTTTAACATGACAGAGCTAGTAGTTAAGATATTCCCCCCCTTCCTTTTGCAGCTGGTAAATACCATTGTGGATTTTATCTAGTCCATAGGTCTGCAGGAAGAAAGGCCAGAGGTAAAAAGCCAGGTCGACTAGAAGGAAGCCAGAATCAAAATAAAAGCAGCAAGGAAGTAAGAACACAGCAAAACCCACAAAAGAGAATTATAGGAATATGGCAACTAGACAAATGCAACTCAAGCAATAGGTTAATATTTGATTGTGCATATACAATCCATTTACCATTTAAACTAAACACTTGAGAAAAGACCGACCCACAAAAGCATATTTAACTCTTAATCAAAACTAAGTATCATCTGTAACTTTCTATAGGGAAGTACATTTCCAGGAGCAGTTCAGGAAATAAAGCCTATACCTGCATCTAGGATGCTTCTCGGGGGACAGGGGTAAGGGGGCCACTCCAGGACAGTGCCCAAGGCCCACTCTGGACCAGGTTACTCTGACTCCTCCACATCTGCCTAAGACTGGGTTCATCTCTGGGGAACCATGCTCTGGTGCTCTGCATCAGGGGTCAAGTGGAAGCCAGTCTCTAACAAAGACAGGAGCAGTGAGCCTGAACTGACAGTATTATTCTTCCTTCATGACTGTTCTAAGGACTTTCTACATGCAAAGCCATCTGTCCGACCAATCCGTTTCTGGTTCATGTCTATTGTCACAGCATAAGGTGCCCTAGGCCAGAAATATGATTCCAGGTAGAGACTAATAGCTACTCTATTGGAGGTAATTACAAGTTGCAGGAAAAAAATAATTAGGCACTGTTTCCAACACTCAAGAAGATTGCCCCTAAACTTCCCCTATATTGTTTGGAGTAAATGGCAATTTTAATGTCAAATACCTATTTATTCCATTTACTATTAACATATAAAAATGAGCATTCCCCAAGGTTGCCTGAAACTCATAAACCTGAGGAAAATTTTGTATTTACTCCCCCTGAGGAACCCCAATGGTTAAAGTCAAGTTCTGATTTATATACTGATATTTCAGAATGTGCTCCTTAATGAAATATGTATACTTCAAGGTAGAATTCTCTAAAGAGAGAGAGAGAAACCAGAACACTCCATTCCACAAGGGTGGACAATAGGAAGCTTTTCAGAGTGGACTGTGTACCAAATCAGGTCCTCCATAAATATGCCATAGTTACTGAGGAAGGCAGAACATAAAAGCGCCTTTAAGAAATTATGAAATTTCTAGAGTTGTATCTGCACTGCTTTCACAGAACAAGAAAGAGCAGCCTCTATGACTCAAACAGAGACAGGGCAAGGGATCACGGTGCCCCCGTGCTGTCCTAATACAGCTACCTTAGGTAACATGGTCAGCATCCCCAGACCATAGGTCTTAACTATTGAACTAGTTACCTAAATTAAGGCACACCCATAATAGAGTATAACCATGCAATGTTTTATTTTTTAAATTGAGGTAGAACAATATGTACTGACATGAAAAGATATTGGCAATATAAATCATGATAGGCATGTTGCAGAGTAAATCTCATAAATTTTAAAAGCTTACAGAAGATACATAAAAATATGATTTTACATGCCTAGAAATAACTGTCAAGATGCAAAGACAGTGTGAAAACAAAAAATGTTTACTTTTTACTTTATGTACTTCTGTACCAACTGAAATTTTTTTGCATTAAAGATGTATCACAGCTTCAATCTTAAGACAATTTTAAAATTCTCAATTCCCCAAAAACTATCTTCACATCATACAAAATTTGTATCTCCTAAACTATATTTAATTCAATGGTTTTATATTTTTCTAAATCTTCAGACAGAAGATTTGTTTCAGAGTTTGCATATATACATAACTACGGTGTTCTCTTCTACCCTTCACAAACATGGGGGGGTGCAAAAGTTAGTTTACAGTTGTATGTGAAACAGTTTATTCTTGTATTATTATTTATTATTGTCCAAACAAACAACTGCAAACCTACCTTTGCCCCATCCTGTACTTGCTAGGAAAGTCTACTAGCCTGTAAGCGCCTTGAGAACAAGGACTATATCACAGGCATTGTTAATCCCCAGAGCCTAGCACTGCTGCCTTTCAAGAGTCTGCTTCCAGGACAGACGCTTCAGAGTCAGGGTTCCCAGGGCAACAGACTCCATGGGGACTAGAAGACAACAACAGATTTCATGTCCCGTGAGATCTGAATGATAACAGGCTTCAGGCAGGTTTATCAAATTGAGTTTAACTTTTCAAAGCTTGAATAAACTCACTTAATAATGTGTAACTTTACTACTCAAAAAATTATTTTAAATTTCCAAGACTTACCCTTTGTCGAAGAAAGACGTATGCCCTGATCTAGAGAACTTTGTGCCGTTGTTATTCATCACCCCACAGTTAACATTCCCTGAAATATAGGATTTTCGTGATGCTTGGTCCTTTGCAAAATTCCTACAAGCTGCTAATTTGGATTCTAAAGCCTACAAAGGGAAGAAGAAATGATTTGGTTGTCAAAACAGTAACTGCACATAAAAATCTACATTTCAAACCACTCCTATTTTGAGACTCAAACCTGATTCTCTCAGTTGATAATGGTGACTACTTGAGCCCAAATGAATCACCTTTCTAGCAGAAAAAGGAAATATTCATGCTGACTCCCTTTCTAATGAGTTCAGAATATTTTACTTATCCTCTCAGTATTACTGAGGAATACAAATATAATCCTCACTCACATAAGATAATTGTGACACAAGCAGACAGAGACAGACCCCAAGTCTCTTGACCCCATTCATTACATCTTTCTGAGTTGTAATGTTTTGTTAGTTGGTTAGTTAGGGGTGAGTGTGGGTCTGTGTGGTAGGGGGCTGTTTTGGGAAGAAACACTATAAAAAATGCAAAAATATCACTTGAGAGTTTTTTAAAGCAGTCAATTCTTTCTATAGCATTTCAGTTTAGTTATTTCTAATGCATTTAAATGGATAAGAGCATTTACAACACCTCATATGAAGTTAAAAGCTATTCTATTTCTTAGAACACAGTGTAAATGTCTAACTGATACCTTTTGTCTATAATTAAATAATTTACCTGAAAATGACACCAGACCTTTTAGCATTTACCTCTAAATTGAGTGCCCTTCTTAGCACCTGTCATCACAACACCTGGCCAATGCCAAGCTCTACAAACAGATGACATGCAGAAAACAGGAGGAGTTCCTCATCTATTTCCATCACACACAGATATCACCAACTCCCCCTCCCCAGAAACACTTTGACCAACTCAAACCTCTCTCCCTGCCAAAAAATAGTCCATTCCTATTATCCATGACACTAAGGGATTGGGAATGCATAGGTAAATTTAATCCACAGATAACATATACACTTTAAAAATCCTCCCCCATAATTTCAATACAAACTGTTAAGAAACAGCAATAAAAATAAACTTCTTTCTCTTCTCCTTTCCTATAACAAAAGAACAATGACCAATAAACAGAAGAGAGGTAATGACCTTGTAAGATAAGCATTATTTTAGCAACTTGGCCCTGGCCGGTTTGGCTCAGCGGTTAGAGTGTCGGCCTGCGGTCCGGAGAGACCCGGGTTCGGTTTCCGCTAAGGGCATGTGCCTCGGTTGCAGTTTGTCCCCGGCCCTGGTCGGTCGTGTGGGTGGCAGCCACTCGATGTGTTCCTTTCATATCGATGTTTCTCTCTCTCTCTCTGTTCCTCTCTCTCCCTCCCACTCTACCTGAACAAAAAATAGAAAAATGTCCTCAGGTGAGGATAAAAAAAAAAAAAAAAAAAAAAAACACAAATAGAACAAAAAAAACCTGGGAGGATGAGTTAAATTCCTCATCTTTTTGTTTAAAATTAGTAAGTCAAGATACATAAAATAAACACATTATTTCAAATTATAGAGGCAAATATCATAACTCTTACAACAAATTAGATAAAAATGGTTATCTTAGAAGGAAAAATTACATACTGTATGAATGACTTGTGCACATTATTCTTTATAGTAACTTTAAAATGCAGTTTAGAGTGCTCACTTCAGCAGCACATATACTAAAATTGGAACGATACAGAGATTAGCATGGCCCCTGTGCAAGGATGACACGCAAATTTGTGAAGCATTCCATATTTTTGGTGTTACCTCAAAAAATTAAAAATTGAACTTCCATTTGACCCAGTGATCCCACTTCCAGGAATATATCCTAAGAATCCTGAAACACCAATCAGAAAGAATATATGTACCCCCATGTTCGTAGCAGCACTATTTACAATAGCTAAGATCTGGAAACAGCCCAAATGTCCATCGGTAGACGAATGGATGAAAAAACTGTGGTACATTTACACAATGGAGTACTATGCAGCTATAAGAAAGATCTCTTATCCTTTGAGACGACATGGAGGGACCTGGAAAGTATTATCCTAAGCAAAACAAGCCAAACAGAGAAAGACAAGTATCATATGATCTCACTTATTTGTGGAATATATGCACATAACAGTCTGAGGAATGGGGTAGTCCCAGAGACGTAGAAGTAGGGTACAGACTGACAATCCCCAGAAGAGGGAGTGGTGGGGGAGAGATAAACCACAGAACTTATATGCATGTGTGCATGAACAATGGACATGGACAGCAAAGCTGGGGACAGGGCATGGAGGGGGGGAAGGGGGAATCAGAGGGGGGAAAAGGAGAAACATCTGTAACAAAAATAAATTAATTAATAAAATAAATAAATAAAATGCAGTTTAGAGTTAATCTGATGGAATTATTAAAGATAATTCCATAAGCCAGAAAAGCTAAACATAGGACTTTGTATCGTGGCCTCCCATTTCTTCTTCACAGAAAGTATAATGCAACTTCTACTTTTTTCAGAAAGTGTCTCATACAAAAAAATAAGTAAAGGGTGGTGGATAGTGGGAAGTTTCAGGGGTAGATTACTGAAAAGAGAAGTTGAAAGTCACTGAGAGAAATAAGAAAACCTTAAATCCATACAGTTATATTATTATTTCCAGTGATCTGGATGAAGGAAAGGAGTAGTCCAATTTCTTGACTGATCCAGACTGCAGGTCTCCTCCATGGCCAAAAACATCATAATCAACAGTAACACAGTAAGCAATATGTGCATATCACAGATGAGTAGGAACAAAGTAAAAGCAAGAAGAGTGCTAAAAAACAAACAAACAAAAAACAGAGTACTACTCTCTTGATAAGGTCAAAGAGTATTATACAGAGTAAAAAACTGAATAAGCAGAAAAACAAGTTTAATATTTCAAAAGCCAAACTGTTCTGGAATACAGGTCAGAGCCAAGGAGATGGCACTAAAGTTGAGGTGGCCAAGGAGAAGCAAGGGAAGCACAACTAAGAGAAGAAAGTCATGTCACAGACCATGCTAAATCCTACAAAGAAAAAGCTCAGGGATAACCAGAAGGATGGTAAAAACAGGATAAAGTGGCAGTATAAGACATACAGCAAGAAATATTTTAGAAAAAAAAGGAGGACTCATGGTCTTTTAGAAACAGCCATGGAGAACACAAAATATACCCAGTGGAAACTTAGGAGCTTAGCATGCTGGACCTTCTGCAGAGACATCAGCAAGCCCAAACCCTGGAGTGTTTATCTGCATCAGCCTCAACTGGTCACTGGATGCTTTTGCTTCTCAGCTTAATTACAGCCTTTACCACGGGAAGGTATCCTTTTTTCTTCCCTCACTTCAAATTAAGAAATAATTCATACCTTGGCAAATGAAACATCTAGTGATAAATAATTGAATGCTTACCCCTACTTTCCGTAAGAGATCCCCCACAATGTTTAGTGCTGATATCCTAGCTGAAGGCGTTAGTGGACTGGTACCAAAACCGTTTGGTATAGCTAGAGAAAAATAAAACACGAGTAATTATACATGCAATTTGGGTTTTGTTGTTATTACAAAACAATATACATTCAATGTAAAAAAAAATTATATAGTATTTCAAACTACAGCTAAAGTATGAAGTGGAGATACCACAAATATGTTTAACTGTTCTCCAATTGATGGATGTTTAGATTATATCCAATTTTACATCATTACAAATAATGCTAAAAGGACAAATATCCTTAAAACATCCAGATAAGTATTTCTGAAGAAGAGACTCCTAAAAATAGAACTGCTGGATCTTACGATATGATATGCCCCTTTTCACCTTAACAGATACTGACTGCCAAAAGTTATGTAAATATCAGCAATTTATATGGTGGTGTCAATAATATTAGACATCTTTTTTTTGACAATTTGACAGTCATTTTGTTTTAATTTTTATTTCCCTTCTGGAAATCATCTACTTATCTTTTGCATTTTTTTCTACTGAGTTGTCTTTCCTTTAATCAATTTGCAAGGGCACAATACATTATAGGTATTCACCCTTTCTCTTATATATGTTATATTTCTGAGAGTGACATTTATCTTTAAACTTTGTGTTTTGAGGAGGAAGCCTTTGGCTCACCCACCTCAATATTTTAAAAAATGTTCTCCAGCCCTGGCTGGTTTGGCTCAGCGGTTAGAGCATCAGCCTACGGACCAAAGAGTCCTGGGTTTGATTCTGGCCAAGGGTACGTACCTCAGTTTCAGTTCATCTCCTGCCTCAGTTGGGGTCATGCAGGAGGCAACCAATCGATGTGTCTCTCTCACATTGATGTTTTTTCTCTCTCTCCCTCCCACTCTGTCTGAAGATAAATGTAAAAATATCCTCGGGTAAGGATGAAAAAAAAAAAAAAGTGCCCCAGCCCGACCAGTATAGCTCAGTGGTTGAGCATAGACCCATAAACCAAGAGGTTGCCAATTCGATTCCTGGTCAGGACACAAGCCCAGGTTGTGGGCCAAATCCCCAGTGGAGGGCATGCAGGGGGCAACCAATCAATGTTCTCTCTCATCGATGTTTCTCTCTCTCCCACCTTCCTCTCTAAAATCAATAAAAAAAAATTTTAAATACTTTCCCCATATTTTCTCCTAATGGTTTCATAAAATTTTCTTTTATACTTAGATCATTAAACTCATGAAATATTTACATTTTTTTCTCCAAATGGGTAACCAATTGTTAGAATACTACTTGGTGAAAAAGACTTATCTCATCTGAAATGGCACTAAAACCATAATATACTGAATTCCCTATATATTTCAAGTTCCATTAAATTATTAGTCCACTCTGCCAGAAAGATGCTGCTTTAGTTATTATAGTGTTAAAATAAATTTTGCTATCTTGAAGGGCAAAGCCTCTTCCTGTTAGTGACCTATTTCAAACTTTTCTTGGCTATTCGTGCACCTTTACTCTTCAACACTAACTTTAAAATCAACTTGACTACTTAAAAAGTCCTATTAAGATTATTATTAAAAATTTTAATTATAGCCCTGGCCGGTTTGGCTCAGCAGTTAGAGCATCAGCCTGCGGTCCGGAGAGACCCGGGTTTGGTTCCCACTAAGGGGGCACGTACCTCGGTTGCAGTTTGTCCCCGGCCCTGGTTGGTCGTGCGGGTGGCAGCCACTCGATGTGTCCCTTTCACGTCAATGTTTCTCTCTCTCTCTCTGTTCCTCTCTCTCCCTCCCACTCTACCTGAAGAAAAAATGGAGAAATGTCCTTGGGTGAGGATAAAAAAAATTTTAATTATTGATTGATTTGGGGAGAATGGACATTAACAAAATTAAGTCTTCCCATTCAGAATCATGATATTGAACATGCTATTTTCATGCTCTTCTTCCGTGTCCCTCAGCAAAGGTTTCCAATTGTGCACATTTCTTCAAATTATTTTTGAAATAATATAGCATATGGTTAAGAGCTCTTGACTGAAACTGCTAGATACAAATCCATCTCTGCCATTTGATGACTGTGTGACCATGAGTAAGATACCTTCATGTAAAAGAAGCTAATAATTAACTTACCTTATACAGTTGTTATGAAGTTTAAATTAATTAGCATGCTTTTATTATTATTATTTTTTAATACTCACCCGAGGATATTTTTCCATTTACCTTCAGATGGAGTGGGAGGGGGAGCGGGGAGAGAGAGAAAGATCGATGTGAAAGACACATCAACTGGTTGCCTCCCACACGAGCACAGGGACTGAACCGCAACGGAGGTACATGCCCTTGACTGGAACAAAACCCATGACTCTTTGGTCTTCAGGCTGATGCTCTAACTGCTTAGCCAAACTGGCCAGGGCAAGTTAACATGCTTTTAAAATGCCTAGCATAGCCCTGGCCAGTTTTGCTCAGTGGTTAGAGCGTCGGCCTGCGGACCAGAGAGTCCCAGGTTTGGTTCCCGCTAAGGGCACCTACCTCGGTTGCAGTTTGTCCCCGGCCCCGGATGGGGTTGTGCGGGTGACAACCAGTCAATATGTTGTCTCTCACATTGATGTTTCTCACTCTCTCTCTCTCTCTTGCCCGCCTCTTCCTCCCACTCTATCTGAAGCTAAATGCAAAAATGTCCTTGAGGATAAAAATAAAGTAAAATAAAATAAAATGCCTAGCATAATAAGTACTCAATAAATGTTAGCTATTATTTTTTATGTTTTCTAGAGAGTGCTAATGGACATGTAAAATGCTTTTGCTGCTGTTGTTTACCGTCCTTGTCCTCCAGAATGTAATCTTATTGAAGGTGGGGACTTTGTCTTATTCACTGCTATACTCCCAGCACCTAGTACCATGGGTGGCATTAACAGGTGCCAAATGTAATATAAATAGACTGCTGTACTTTCCTTGGCAGGGATTTCTGGATCTCAGTTTTCCCTATTCTCAAATTTAGGTATTATTTCTGTGCTTTTATGAAATGCTTTTTGGAAACAGGCATTGTATCAATACAATGCAATAAAGACAGACCATTTCATAGAGATCAGTTCTTCAACCGTGTCTCTGATTTCTCTGTCCTCCTGCTTCTATGTCTATGCTCACTTCCTTGTCACAAAACTGGATCACAAAAATGATCCAGTACACAGAAGCTTTCAGGTTAGTGAAAATCTGTGCTGTCAATTCCAGTCTAAAAGAGTTTCTGTCTGGACAAATATTATTGCCTTAGGATTGACCTATCTTAATTCTGTGCCAGAGTAAGCTCTGGGTCCTACTGACACTCCCCCACCACAAGTTCTTACATGAAAACTCTAGTGAGCTTATAAAAGAATGTACACCCCTCTCTGGGTGTTAACTTTGATTTAAGCTCCTGACTATTCTGCTTTAATGCTCAAAGAATTTTCAGAACTTATCTGCATAATTCTAATTAGTGAAAGCAAAGCTTTGTTAATTCTCAAATGTTAGTAATTCTGAGGGCCTCAAATACACAAGCACCATTCTGAAAAATGAACGTTGAAAGCTTTTGAGGACTGCTGTAACCTATATACTACCTGCTCTATGCCCTCAGCAGCAAACTCAACACAAACAAGTAAAATTAGTAACACCTTCTGACTATTCAGCATTTTCACATACCTTATCTAATTTCACCTCGTAACATGGAAAAAAGAGGATGAATTATCCATTCAAGGGCTACTGAGCACTTGGAATGTGACTAATGCAATCAAAACTGATTTTAAAATTTTAATTCATATTAAATTAGTAAAAATTTAAATTTAATTAATCATATGTGGTTAGTGGCTACTGTACTGGACAGCATAAAGAGAATTTACTGCACTAACTGCCCAGACAGAAAATCTTCTATTACTATGAAAGATAAAATCCTATATTTAAAAAAGGGGTAGGAAGCCCTGGCCGGTTTGGCTCAGCAGTTAGAGCATCGGCCTGCGGAACAGAGAGGCCCGGGTTCGGTTCCCACTAAGGGCACATACCGCGGTTGCGGTTTGTCCCTGGCCCCGGTTGGGGTCGTGTGGGTGGCAACCACTCGATGTGTCTCTCTCACATTGATGTTTCTCTCTCTCCCTCCCACTCTATCTGAAGATAAATGCAAAAAAAAAAAAAAAATGTCCTCGGGTGAGGATAAAAAAAAAGGGGGTAGGAAGATGTTTCCATTTGGGGAGAACAAAGTATAGGGGACTGGAAGCAGCTGAAATATGATCTGCACACTGCAAAAACTAAATCTGAACTGAGAGCTTTAGGGTTCTATTCTAAGGTTCTATCTAGTGGCTACAAAATTATTTTTCTGCTTGTCAGGATTAAAAAACACACTGGCTGGTGGCAAAAGGAATATTCTCTATATACTACTCAACAGTTACTCTAACTGTCACTTATGAAGCCCAGCCAGTATGGCTCAGTGGTTGAGCATCGACCCATACACCAAGAGGTCGCTGGTTCAATTCCCAGTCAGGGCACATGCCAGGTTGTGGGCCAGATCCCCAGTGCGGGGTATGTAGAACGCCGCCAATCATCTCATCAATGTTTCTCTCTCCCTCTCCCTTCCTCTCTCTCTAAAATCAACTTTTAAAAAAATTTTTTAATAAATAAATGTCACATGAAAAAAGCTACAGAAACATGTAATAGAATGGACCTGTCTATTGAAGTCAAGCTTCCTCAAGTCTGGTAACTCGAGTCTCTACACATCCCATGTATAAGGGCTTCTAGTCTCCCCATGATATGTTAAGTGACAAAAACAAGAAATAAAACTGTATTTAAATATGACCACAAAACTTGTTTGTAACAAGGAGGTAGGTACAAACACAAATAAGCACTCTAACAATAAAAAAAATCCAAGCAGTAAGATTACAGATGGTTTTTATTTTTTTTATTTTCTGTTTTTAAATTCTTCTGCATGAACATATATCACTGCTTTATTTAAAAAAATAAAATTTTCTTAAAAACCTTTTGCTTTTAAAAATCTCAATTTATTAAGCTGCTCGTGTCTTAAATGGAGCCATTATTCTCCTTGTTTCCTACATCTGAGTGGCCTAGGAAAATAATTCCTTCTTCTTCACACGTGCTAGATTTAATCAACTTTTTTTAAACTGAAATTATTGCTTAAACTTCAGCAACTCCTGCTTCATTAGTAAACCCTCTTAAGGTGATAATCTACCATAGGTTCAAAATGAAAAGACATTACAAACCTTTTGGTGAAGGAAAACTGTTCTCTGTTCCTTTGCCAACAGGAGTAGCTGGTAAAGAAAGTGACGCTTGAACAGCAGAATCCATCTTTTCACAGTCTAGAGTTGGAGAACTGGGAGCTGACTTCCTGGTTACTTCTTGTTGTCTTTCCCGAACTGCTAGTTCTTGTCTTAAATCTGTAAAATGTTGCAAAGGTAGTTAATACTCACCAGAGAAAGCAAATACATGAAGCAAAGTCACATCTAAAAGGCCATAAAGACAGTCTTCCTAAATTACTATTTCTCAAATATGAATTTCCTATTTAACAATTATTTCTAGGGAAAGTAAACATGATAATCCTACAGTCTAAATGATCTTTTTTAATACTATTTATTTTTTAAATTGATTAGAGAGAGAGAGAGAATATAAATTCTTGTATGTGCCCTGACTGGGGATCGAACCCACAACCTTGGTGTAGCAAGACAATGCTCTAACCAACTTAGCTATCTGGCCAGGGCTAAATGATGGTTTAGAATTTAAAAATGCCATAATCTAAGAGAACAGTTATCTATGCCCATATGCAAAAGTAACAGAACAGACTCTAAAGTGAACATGTGCTTGGCCGGAATAGATCAGTTGGTTGAGCGTTATCCTGTGCACCAAGAGGTTGCCAGTTCAATTCCCAGTCAGGGCACATACCCTGGTTGCGAGTTTGGTCCCCATTCAGAGTGGAAGACAACTAATCAATGTTTCTCTTTCTTTCTCTTTCTTTCTCTCTCTCTCTCTCTCTCTCTCTCCTCCCTCCTCCCTCCCTCCCATTCTAGCTAAAGATAAAAATGGAACAAAAGTATCCTTGGGTAAGGATTAAAAAAGTGTTTCTTTTAATTTTAAAAAGAGTACTTAGCATAGTGTCTGACAAAGTATATAAATGTATAGCTTTAACAAGCTGATCCTGAAGCTAGCTTAGAACTGTGGCTTAGGAACAGTAAGGTTTCATTTAGGTTATAAATTTTACCTCTTGCTTCATCCTTTAACCTCTGAACAGAGACCAACAAAGATTCCTTTTCATCAAGTTCACTTTCTAAAAATGCATTTCTTTCAATGGCCTGATTTAGCCTTTGTTCAAAGTCTTCCAGTGAAACTATTGTCGCCCTAAAAAAATAATTAGAATCCACAAATTAATAATGTACAAATAGGTAATACAAAAGGAAACTGTCAGTTCACCTCATACATTTTCCTGACCTAGAAAGCCTGGCCCAGTTCAAAGAAAATGACCTCACTCCCTCTGACCTCTGATAGCATTTAGTGTCTCTACTATCATTTAGGGCCATTAAATATATTATTTTCTTTTAAATTCCCAACTAAATTCCTTAAACTTCCTTAAAAAAAAGTCTACTTATTGTAAAATGTATATCTCCCCACTGGATTTTACAATCAAGTTTACATATTTTCAGGAAAACTTTTCAATAGTTTTAGAGTACGTAAAATTTAACTAAGAATGTGTTTACAATATAAAGTCCCAGGTCCCACTCTTTATTTTTTCCCTACCAACCGTTTTCTTCCTGCATTTCTCACCTTACTCCTTTATTCAACGAACATTAACATATACCTACTATGTGCCCACTACCTGCTATGTGCTATCTGCTACAGATATAAAACTCCCAAACCTCAAGTCAGATCTAATATCTCTCAATTCCATTTGCTCTTCTTCAATCTTCTGCCCTGCCCCCCCCCCCCCCCCCCCCCCGCCTTAATTCTCCACCCATCACCTGGATTACTAAATGGTCTTTACATCTCCTCTCTATTCCATTTCCTCAGTATCATCTTCTGAAATCACAATCTGAAATTTTTCCTTTGTTTAAAAAAATTACTATTCAAGAGGCCCCCATTACCTAAAGAATGACTATCAAACATTGCACACAAGGTTCTTCACAACCTGGCCTCAACCACCTTCCAGTCTAATCTTGTCCAGCAATGTCTCTATACATTTCAATCAAAGTGAAATAGTAATACCTCACACACTTTTTGGCCTCTCTGCCTCTGCATCTCTCTCTTCACCAGGTTAACTTCTATTTCTCCTTATAGGTTCTGCTTCCATAATTCCCCCAGAGTTACTTCAGTTGCTCCCTGCTCTATGCCCTGGAGCAACTTGTACACTTTTTACTAGAGCATTTATCATATGACATGTCCACACCTGTTACACCCAGACAGTAGCTAGTTTATCTTTGTATTTTCAACTCTAGCATCATGTCAGGCATTTAAGAGTCACAACTATTAAGGAAAGAAATACCAGATAATAAAGTAAGAGGAATTAAATTTGGAATAGTTAAGATAACTGATTTACAGATATATGAAAGCTTGGCAACAGTAATAGCAAGCCACTATAGGTTATTCAGCAAAATCGTAATGAAAGCAGTATTTCAAGAAAATTCATCAGTCAGTGTAAAACAGAAGAGAATAAAAAGGAGTAAAAATTTAAAGACAGATTAGCTAGGAAATAACTGCAGAATTCAGGTTTAGGATGTGAGGACCTACAAAAAGTGTGGTGGTACTGAGAACAGAGAGGAAAAGATAGAGGAATGAATGAGATATGTTTTAATGAAAAGCCAACAGGAACAATAGTACATGAAAGAACGAAAAAAGAAAAATAGAAAGAAAAACTTGGAAGGGTATTATCTGAGGAAATAAGAGTTTTAGGTTGGTTTCAATGTGATGAGTACCAAAAGGAAGTGTTCTGGGACTAAGATCTAGGTGATAGGTTGAACCTAAAGACATACATTTTAATCACTGATCACCAGCTTTGGTTATTCTAACAAGCATTCACCTTTTTGCTCGCTCTAGGTCGTCATTGGCCTGCTCCAGCTCTCTCACATACTTATGCAACTGCTCCTTAATGGCCCGAGTCTGACTTAAATCATCTTCTAATACTGAGACCTGCTTGTAGCTCTGTGCATATTGATGTTCTAGTTTCTCCTGAAGGCATGGGTATAGGAAAAAAGAATGTGTTATTACTATATAGTTTTCTTTAATAAAGAATGCAACCCAAGTTAAAGGGGAGGGAAATTCAAAGGAATTCACCCACAATCCAAGTTGATGGTACCCCTTCTCCTCTTCACAATATTTAAAAACAATTACACACTTATTCCAAGTGCCTTAATCAAAGTTTAACCAGTCTCCTCTCAGAAATCTAATAATGAATTCTCTGAAAAGTATAATAAAACTGTTGCCTCAAAAACCCCAAACATGGTAGGGAAACTTCTGGGTTCTTAGGCTGAAGGCAGCTCAGGGTGAGCACAAAGAAGTAGACTGATTGAGTTTAAATTCCCTACCCCTTACCTGCCCACCCCCCCACCTTCCACAAACCCACCTACACCCCAGACATCGAAAGTCTCCAAGCATTTGGCTAAGGCAGGTGGTGGTGGCGGTGAAGAACTACAAAAGGGGCTAATCCTTATACTCCTAAAAATTCCTTCTTAAAATGCAATTTTAAAAGCCAAACTAAAGGGACCATGAACAATAATGAAACAAATGTGTATATTTGACCTGGCCGGTGTGCTAAGTGGTTAGAGCATCAGCCCTTGCACCAAAGGGTCTTGGGTTGCAGGTTCAATCCCCAGCCCCAGTCAGAGTGTGGGCAAGAGACAACCAATAGATAGATGTGTGTGTCTCTCTCTCTGTTCCCCTCCCCACCCTTAAAAAATATCAATGGAAAAAATATCCTTGGGTGAGAATTAACAACAACAAAAAATACATTTCACATTTAATAAAACCCAGTACATTAAACACCAGAGCTTCTACTGCCACCAATTACCTTTAATGCTTCCACTTCATATTTCAGTCTTTGGTTATCAGCTTGCAAGTCTCTATTTCTTTGTTCAGCCTGTACTAATTGTGCCTCCAACTCTGCTTCTAATTCTCTGCTTCCTTCCTGAAATTCAACTAGCTCATCCCGAGCTTCCTGGAAGCTAATCAAAAACAAAGTGAAAAAGAGGAGTTATATTTAGTAGGAACCAAAAGGATCATCTTGAAAATGATTATGTATCAATTCAAGAATTTTTGCCTGAATGCTATGCTATACTAAAATATACAAAATAATAAAGACAATCTGTTTTATATTTCTTACTCTGTATTTGAGGCTCAATGAAAATGAGTTATAGGCCCTAAAAGGACTCACATTTTATACAATCGTTGCTAGCTCTTCCTTATTTAATGTGTTAATAAAGAAGCACAGCCCTGGCCAGTTTGGCTCAGCAGTTAGAGCGTCAGCCCGCGGACCAGAGAGTCCCAGGTTTGGTTCCCGCTAAGGGCACATAGTGGGTTGCAGTTTGTCCCCAGCCCCAGTTGGGGTCATGTGGGTGGCAACCAGTTGATGTCTCTCTCTCTCACAACAATGTTTCTCTCTCTCTCTTCCTCCCTCTCTACCTCCTGCTCTATCTGAAGATGAAGGCAAAAATGTTCTCGGGTGAGGATAAAAAAAAGAAGTACATATTACTATACCACAAATTAGTTTAATATTTAACATTTAATATTTAATAAGGTTTTTTATATAACTGGTTCCCTTCATAATTATATTATTTAATTTTATGCATTTAAAAACATTATTCTGGCCCTGGCCGGTTTGGCCTGTGGACCAGAGAGTCCCGGGTTCATTTCCCACTAAGGGCACATACCTTGGTTGCAGTTTGTCCCCAGCCCCAGTTGGGGTCATGTGAGTGGCAACTACTTGATGTGCCTATCTCACATCAATGTTTCCCTCTCTCTCTCTTTTCCTCCCTCTCTCCCTCCTGCTCTATCTGAAGATAAATGCAAAAATGTCCCCAGGTGAGGATAAAAAAATAAAAACATTATTCTGGCCCTGGCCAGTTTTCTCAGTGATTTAGAGCATCAGCTGCAGACCAGGGAGTCTCAAGTTCGATTCCAGTCAAGGACGCATGCTCAGTTACAGTTCGGTCCCATGCCCTGATCAGAGTTGTGTAGGAAGCAACCAGTCGATGTGTCTCTCCCTCTCTCCTTCCCACTCTATCTGAAGATAAATAGAAAAAAATAATCTCGGGTGATGATTAAATTTTAAAAAAAAAAAAAAAAAAAAAAAACATTATCCTGAGAAGAGGGTCTACAGGCTTCCCCAGCCTATTAAGGCATCTATGGCACAAAGAACCCCTGCCACAGACACACACCTTTTACATCCACTGGCACAATATAACTGGCATCAGCAATAACAATGAAATAGCAATAAAAGGTTTGATAAGACTTAGGAAACTGTTAACCAAAGTAGGAAAATGTATATGTATTTTAGAAAAATTTCATTTTTAAAAAGAAACGTAAAACAAGTTTTAGTGATTAAAAGATTATGTAAAAGTTCTCCCAACTATTTAAAATAACTAAAATTGTATAAAATTCTCCATATACCTGACACTCTTCTCCCATCCCTCAAAGCTTTTCTGGCTTCAAACACTGATAACACTTGCCTGAGAACTCAGGTCTGTGTATGAAGCCCTAGACAGCCTATCAGAATCTCCATAAGATCAAAATGATGAGGCAGAATCAGTGTACATGCAGTAGGCCAAAGATGGCCAGTTAGAGTAATAAACATAAAAGGGGGAAAACTACCAGGACAAAAAAAATCACAAATGACACCAAGTTTTCTTACTATTTTAATAATTTAAATAATATAAGGATTTATGGCATCTTTGTACTATTTAAATATAAGCAATATTATGACTATTTCTAGACTCCCAATCCTAAATCTGAAACTCTAATTTTAGCTTTATGTCTAAAATAACCAAATGCTAGAGATGGTGTATTCCAAATGCCCTCCCCCGTTTTTAGGATGCTTTTCAACATTACCTTTGTTTATATTTTAAGGACAGTTCCTTCCAGTAAGTAGTTTCCTCCTTTAAACTTGAAAAATCTGGTATATCTTCACCATCCATGATCAAGAAAGCCTGTGAAATATTAAAAAAAAACTCATAAATTAATAGAGAACACAGGAATCTAAGTAAAGTACAGATCTGGGATAACATCACAATTGTAGCATTTTGGAGGGGTTAAACATGAAAGATTCTAAGAGTGGTTAACTATTGTAACTCAGGCACATAAATCAATTCACTGCCCCACTCTTAGGGACCACCAATATTGTGGGTGAGGTCATGACAGGAGAGGAGGTCAACAAAGTTCTTTGGTATAAAGCACTTCTGGTCACAGCCCTAGGTTCTGCTTAACTGGCCCAAAAGAATCATCCTGCACACAGGACTCCAGCAGTTGGCTTAAAGGCAACTGATCTTCTGGGAATCAGGTGACAGAAACAAGCTTTCTGAGAGCTGATGCTACTGCATACCCTTCTGTTGTATAATTGCTTAAAAACACCTGCTTGAAACACTCATGCCAGGTGATCATACTAGGAGAACAGATACTATATTCCCAATAATTTACTATTATTACATTTCTGAAACGTTCCTGTTAATTATCTTTTTATTATTATTATTATTTTTTTATCCTCACCCGAGGACATTTTTCCACTTTTTGTTCAGGTAGAGTGGGAGGGAGAGAGAGGAACAGAGAGAGAGAGAGAAACATCGATGTGAAAGGAACACATCGAGTGGTTGCCACCCCCACAACCGACCAGGGCCGGGGACAAACTGCAACCGAGGTACGCGCCCTCAGTGGGAACCAAACCCGGGTCTCTCAGGACCGCAGGCCGACGCTCTAACCGCTGAGCCAAACCGGCCAGGGCTGTTAATTATCTTTTAAGTCCAAAGTTTCTTCCATTTAATCCACTAATCCTCCAATTTCAATGTTCTTTCATTTTGGATCTTCTTCCAAGGTGTTCTGAGAGGGTATCAATAACTCCTGAAAGCTATTGCCTAAGTATCCTTGAGGAGAGGGACATATTTCAAATTAACAACCCAGATGAAAATACAACTACAGGACATGAGAAGCATTTGGGGTGAGGCAACAATCACTATGTCCCCTGAATGCTCTACACAAGGTCTTTCCCCAAAATGCCCCCCAAAATAAATAAATAATTTGTGTGTGTGTGTGTGTGTGTGTGTATGTAGGTAGATAGATAGATAGATAGATAGATAGATAGATAGATAACACTTAAAATCTATGAATCCAGTCCTAAAGAAACTACAGGCGCTGATCCTCAAATTTGGATAGATGTATTTGCCATTTGAACACTGCCAACCATGTATCAGTGTGCAGCTCAAATATTCAGTTTCTGATACACAATCCAATAAAGTATGGTTTTGCAATATGTTATGAAGATCAGAATAACACAAGAAGCAAAGTTACCTTAAACAGACAAAAAATATATATAAAGAAAAATGAAAGGTTAAGTCTCTCCAGCTAGTTCCTTGAGGGCAAGACCTGTGAGTTGTTTATAAATACCTTTTGCATCACCAGAAACATGGAACATCAGAAATCCAACAAATATTTGAATTGACTTATAATCTTTCATTATCCCCTCTTTACTTTCAAGGTGTCACTTTATTAATATCTAAATTACTATTTCAGGATGAAGTAAGCAAAAAGATTTGTGGATTGTTTATTCTACCTCACACTGCACTGCCATCTATTAAATCAAGATTATAAAACCTATTATTCTCAGCTAGACAAAATTATCAGTCTGAGCATGCCAACCCACATTCACAGTCACTTCCAAAGCTCAGTATAGGCTCCACATCAAAAAATAGGGAGCTGATGGGGCCTGTTGGGGAGAGCCTTGGAGATACCACTGCATACTTGCTACCTAATCACTGCTCAGCCCTTGTCTTAAATATGAATGGGCAACCAAGAACAGACAAATGAGAAATAGCAGTAAGTAGCATGAATAAAAAAATCCTAATGAACTGAGAGGAAACATAATTCAGGAAATGTGCAAACTTTTTTTCTCATACAAGAACTCAGGAGGGTTACCTCCCACACACTTCCTGAGACAGTTACAAAAGAAAAATGAAAACCAAACCCCAGACAGCACAGGGTATAAGAAATAATGGCTCCAACCCAGGATTGCAAAGAAGAAAGGTCCCATGATGAAGACTACCTACTTCATCAGACCCAAAGAGTAACTCAGCCAGATGGATGGCTCCGGGAAAAATGAGGAATCCCACATAACAGACAGCATGACTGGGAACCAGGTAATCTGAGGTTGTGGTGAAAGCATATCATTCTTGTGTCAATAAGAAAAAAAAAGCAGCAGAAACTACAGAGAAAGCAAAATGCAGTATAAGAAAGTCCCAATCCTTATGTGAAATAGGACAAGGGTCTCAAGGTCTGGGCAATTCTAAATGTTATTTCTTGCTAAATGTTAAAATGGAGCACAGTATTTTGGAGATGCAGCTGTAAACAGGATAAACTTGGTAAGAACCCAACCTGATAAGTATAGCCAACTGCAAAGAAGAACATGTAATTGTCCAAATAGTGTATATAAGCAATAGCTAAGCCTCTCTTTGAATATGAATTCCATCTCCTTCACTTGCTGCAAGAAAATGAAACTACCTTGCGCCAACCACATCTCATTCTTGAATAGAGTACCCCAAGCAGCAAACCCTTTGAGTTCAGTAACACCTATATAAAAACATTTTTGAAATTAAAGATTTCAAGTCAGTATTTTAATTTACTGATTTTATATTACTGTGTGCAACTGAGGTAAGTTCCATAATTTTATAGCTATCAGTAATTTCCTACTTTTGGTTCAAATTTACCATAAGTTTTGTGTGCTACTGCCTTGTAAGAGTCCAGAATTTTTTTTAACAAGTTTGTATTCTCTTTTACGCCCCTTCTAATTTTGTAGACTTTGAGGATACCACTGCTCAGCCTTGGTCTTTTCAAAGTGAATATTCGTCTTTTTAGCTTATATCCACTTAGCAGCCATCTCAGTTCCTTAAATATTTTCAAGGTCATGCTTTGGACCTACTCTAGATTACCTTTCTTGAGTTGAGTATTTCAACATTTTATTCATGGGTAGAGTACTTTTTCTTTTAAGTTTTCAGTACCCTTCTGTTACTATTAGTGATGGTTTGGTCCGTGGGCCAGTATCCTTATGGAAGGTTATGACTATTACATGCCTTCCTTGGCATTTAACATTTACTTATTTTAATATGGAGCCAATCCTTCTACAAATAGGGTTAGGGTTGTTTTTATCTATAAACGTTATCATTGTGAAACTTTTCTGTGAGGCTGATTTTTGTTGTTATTACTGACCCATTATTATAGTATCAGAGGACCTGACCTACTAGCAGTTATTACTCTGAAGAGAGCTTAGCTAAGTATTGTTCTCTGAGGAATCTCATTGTTCATACCTCTGGATATACTATAAAGTATCCATTTGTCCCTGATTTTTTATTCTTTAATAGGGCCATATTCTTAACACAACTATCAACTTTTCCAGTGGCACCTGGTGATTCAAGTTTTATTTTATTTTATTTTATTTTTTATCCTCACCCGAGGACATTTTTCCATTTTTTGTTCAGGTAGAGTGGGAGGGAGAGAGAGGAACAGAGAGAGAGAGAGAGAGAGAGAGAAACATCGATATGAAAGGAACACGTCGAGTGGCTGCCACCCACACAACCGACCAGGGCCGGGGACAAACTGCAACCGAGGTACGCGCCCTTAGCGGGAACCAAACCCGGGTCTCTCAGGACCGCAGGCCGACGCTCTAACCGCTGAGCCAAACCGGCCAGGGCTGGTGATTCAAGTTTTAAATAGCCTTTCATGTGAAACATCCTGAGAATCTACCTTCATTTCTTGTATCCTCAACTATTAATTACTTAGTTCATTATCAAATTCTAGAAAAATTATTATTATATTTTTTATTCCTCACCCGAGGACATTTTTGCATTCACCTTCAGATAGAGAGAGAGAGGAAGGGAGAAAGAGAGAGAAACATTGATGTGAGAGAGACACATCGACTGGCTGCCAGCCACAAAACCCCAACCGGGGCCGGGAACAAACTACAACCCAGGTACGCGCCCTTAGTGGGAACTGAACCCAGGTCTCTCTGTACTGCGGGCAGATGCTCTAACAGCTGAGCCAAACCAGCCAGGGCTAGCAAAATTTTTTTTAATGTTTTTTTCCATACACACTTCTCTATTTTCTTGCTGAATATGCGGACTGAATGTTGACAATTTTTCTATTTAACAGGCTACTTTTACAACTTGATTATTGGCCCTTCAAACAGTATTATAATCTATGCCCAAAACCTTTTACTAAAATGACCATCACCTTTTCCAGAATAAACCAATTAAAAACATTTAACCAGGGAATGAGTGGTAGGAGTAGCCCAGAATAGTGGTTAAGAACCTAGACCCTGAAGCCAAACTACCTGGGTTTGAATCAGACTCCTCTACTCATTAGTTGATCTCTCATTAGTTAACCTTGGGCAAGTGACTTATCCACTCAGTGCCCCATTTCCTAACCTGTAAAATGAGGATAATTAAAATAGGGTTGTTATAAAGATTGAGTTAATATTTTTAAAGTACTCAGTACAGAGCTTGACACATAGTAAATGCAGCATATATTTCATTAAATTGTAAAAAATTGGCAGTTCAGGCCCTGGCAGAGTGGCTCAGATGGTTGGAATGTTATCACATACACCAAAAGGTTCAGGTTTGATTCCTGGTCAGGACACATACCTAGGTTGAGGGCTTGATCCCCAGTGAGGGAGCATATGGGAAGCAACCAGTCAATGTTTCTCTCTCTACTCTCTCCCCCTTCATCTCTGACCAAAAAATAAATTGGTTTCAGGCTCTTCTGACACCAGCATCATGAAAGCTGCTTCCCCTGTGTCCATGTTGGCCATATGGCTGCTCTGGTCACATACAGATTTGCCACCTCCACCATCGTCCCTTCCACCTCTCAGCAGTTCGAAATGAAACTACTGTCAGTTCTGGAAGGAAACTTGCCACTCAGATCAAGCAGGAAGTACAGCAGAAGTGGAAGAGTGGGTGGCATCAGGCTACAAATGGTCACACCTGAGCATGGTCCTGTTTGGTGAGAATCCTGCAAGTCATTCTCCTATCCTCAAAAAAAACCAAGGTTGCTGCAGATGTGGGAATCAACAGTGAGAGAACTGTGAAACAAGCTTCAATTTCAGAAAAGAACTGTTGAATTTAATCAATAAACAATAATGATAATGTTGATGGCCTCCTTAGCAGACTGATGAAGAATCCACAATGCTATTTCTCCAGACAAGGATGTTGATGGCTTCCATGTAATTAAGGTAGGGCAAATGTGTTTGGCCCAATATTTGATGTTACTGGTTACCCCATGGGGTATATGGGAAATAAATAGGCGAGCTAGCATTCCAACCCTAGGGAAGAATGTGGTTGTAGCTGGAAGGTAAAATGTTGGAATGCCCATTGCAATGTTACTACACTCAAACGGGGCAACAGGGCACACAAATGTCCTAGAGGTTGTATAATTGTTACAATACCTCGATACACTCTCAAAGAGCAGCTGAAAAAAACATAATTCTTACAGATAATTGTATTTTCCTGCAAGCATTCCAAATCTGATCACAGTAGATATGATCAAGGAAGGAGCAGCCATCACTGATGTGGTAATACATAAAAATTCAAGACCCCATCACTGCTAAGCTCAAGTTGGTCATAGATGTGTATTTTGAAGGTGTCTGGAAAAAAGCAGGTTACATCACTCTAGTCCCTGGGGATGTTGATCCCACGACAATGGTGATGCTAATGAAGAATCCCATTATTGCTGCAAAAAAGGTGCTGAGGCTTGAAGATCAGGAAGTACTGAATTCTGAGGAGCTTGTAGTGGCAACTAATTAACAGTTGTGTCTTCTGCGTCATGAACAGTACTCCAAGCCAATTCAAGAGGCAAAAGAGGCCAATAGAAATGCACTATTTTTTATTCTATTGACAAGGTTTTAAATGATATTTGTGTTTACTGAAAGCTTGCATGGTGGGTGTTTGCACACACAGGTCTGGAGTACCTTACCAGGGAGCAGGCATTATCATACTGGGTCATGTGATCTTAAGAGAAGCCATTAACCTAGTTACTAACATGGAGACATCGTCACATTGAGAATAGCTGCTTACCTTTGTCAGACCACTCCAGTTACACTTTGCCTTTTCTAAGACTGAACTTCCCAAGTGCTATTCCAATAAGAGTTGATACTCACTTTAGGTTCCAAACCTTCTGAGTTCAACTGGTCAAACCAAAGGAAAAATGTTGCTAGAGGAAATTAGGGAAAAGGTAAAAGGAAGGAATGATGATAATTGAGTAGAAAAAAATTACCCTAATTTTATATGTACTGGCTGATAACCAGCAGAGAAGCTACATGTTAACAGTACCCTGAATTATTTTATAGTTTAGTCAATCATTGGGAAAATGTCTAGCTTTGTTCCATGTGCTATTAGTCCTTGCTTTATGTGTGTTAGGATTCATGAGGTTTCTCCACTAGAATTGAAAGGCTAATTCATGTGTGTTGTCATATTTGATTTTTCCTACATCCTAAAATTTCAATGTTAAATTTTTATACTATTGGGGTATCTATATGGTTTATTTGGTAGTTCTTGAAATCTACTTTTGAAAAACAAAACTTGGGCAATTTATGTAAGTATGCAACCTACTTTTCCACCAAAGAATTGTCAGCAGGTGCCTGCTTTTTCTCTGATATACTTGTTGGCTTTCCCCAACAGCTTTCTGAGAGCTTAATATTGAATTTAATCAGATTTTCTTTAATTTTTTTTTTCTTTATTGATTTTTAGAGAGAGAGGAAGGGAGAGACAGAAACATCAATGAGAGAGAACATCGACTGGCCGCTTCCTGCATGTTCCCCACTGGGGATTGGGTAAACAACCTGGGTATGTGCCCTGACCAGGAATCAAACCAGCAACCTCTAAGTGCATGGAACGATCTTCAACCACTGAGCCACACCGGCCAGGCTAATCAGACTTTTTGATTAAAGGATTTGTTTTAGAAAAAACACTTCTGACTGAAAAAAAAATTGTTTCAGAATTTATAACAAATGATCCCTTAAAATTAATCACTTCCAGAAGTTATATGCATATTCCAGTGATACCAGCGTCACTGAAAATACTTCTAAACCCTTTTTAGGAATAGTCTTAAAGAGTCACATTAAAAACTAAAAAAAAATTTCTCTGTAGTCCCACCTGAATTTCACTGCTTCCCCAACTGGTACTATCCTACTTTATTACTCCAATTTTATTCACCAGACTTATCCTTTCCAAAAATTGAATTTTTTTACAAATGATAAAAGTTTGCTACCGGTATGGATAATCAAAAGACCTTTTCAGCCCTGGCTGGTGTTGCTCAGTGGCTAAAGCGTCAGCCCCTGCACCAAAGGGTCTCGGGGGTTCAATTCCTAGTCAAGGATACACACCTGGGTAGCAGGTTTGATTTGTGGCCCTAGTCGGGGCCAGTGCAGGAGGCAACTGATCGATGTGTTTCTCTCACTTTCATGTGTCCGTCTCCCTCTCTCTCTCTCTTTCTCTCTCTCTCTCTCTCTCTCTTTCCCTCCCCCTTTTCCACTCTCTCTAAAAAAATCAATGAAAAAAATATCCTGGGGTGAGGATTAACAACAACAACAACAAAAAAAGGTCTTTTCAGGGGCTGGAAAGACAGCCTGTTCAGTTTGCTTCAAGTTACAGTGGGAGTATGGGTTCACTGTGTTATTTGAAACTCTGTAACTAGAGAGGGCTATATAAAGCCAGTATAGAAAACTATACTGCTAAAAGAAAAATATTAATGATAAATCTATAATCTCCTGAAGTTGAAATGAAGGCAGATAATTATGTTCTCTCCTCTGCTACACAAATCATCCCTCAATACCATGTTTCATATGGATGGAGTTATGAATCTCTACAGTATGACAATTTTTACATGGGGCATTATCGTACTGTCTTTAGCAACTGACAAATCAACTCATTTGGGTATAAAACAATCTCTCCAAAATGCTATATTTATAAAGAAATTACTCTTTGTGCAATGGTAAGAAAATCCATTTTATATGATATTGTCTTCTTGTTAATAGTTGCAGAATGCACTAATGAGATTAGTAGTTCTTTTGAAACTCTCTGTAGGTCGGCGGACTTTCAACCTTTTTCATCTTATGGTACACATAAACTAATTACTAATTCTACAGTATTTTTTGCTGCTCTAACAGAAAAAAATAGGTATAATTTTGATTCACTCACACTGGACAGCTACTGTTATGGTGGCTACCGTCAATTTTTTTAATTTGACAATCTAAGGAAAAACAGGTCAGTGCTCCTGACTTAATCAAGTATTCCATGTTTTAAAAATTCTGGCCAGTTGAAAATTGCTGCTGTAGGTAATACATCCCTTTTTACCAAAATTCTTCTACTCCCAAAGGCGAGATTTACAGAATGTATAACTTTTCAAAGTCGATCATAAATATGGTCTCCCTTTAGGTCCTAACTATCAAACTGCTTTTTTCTACCTTATGAAGTGCTCAGAAACTTGTCAGAAGTAATTTTAAGCTTTAAGTGACCAAATTTATCTCAACATGGTTTAAAATGAGAATAAAGTCCCGCTGGTGTGGATCACCGGTTGGTTGAGTGCCTACCCATGCACCAAGAGGTCACTGGCTGGATTCCTGGTCAGGACACATGCCCAGGTTGTAGGCCGGATCCCCAGTGGGGGGCATGCAGGAGGCGGCCAATCTATGTTCTCTCTCATCGATATTTCTGTCTCTCCCTGTCACTTCCTCTCTCTCCCTCTCTCTCTAAAACTCAATAAAGAAAAGAAAAAAAAAGAATAAAAATAAGCTTTGTGGATGTCACAAGATCTAAGTTTTGTTTTGTTTTGTTTATGTTAATCCTCACCCGAGGATATTTTATCCACTGATTTTTAGAGAGAGTGGAAAGGAGAGAGAAAGAAACATCTATGTGAAAGAGACACTTCGATTGGTTGCCTCCCACACAGGATTGAACCTGCAACCCAGGTATGTGCCCTTGACTGGGAATCAAACCCTAGACGCTTTGGTGCACAGGGCAATGTGCTAATCACTGAGCCACACCGTCCAGGGCAGCAAGATCTATGTTTTTACTGAAGTTTCTTTCTATGTATTTTAAGTGTTCTTTATCCAACTTCAATTTATTTAAGAGTCAAACAGAACTTAAAAAAGAACAGCTTCATTAGATTTAGCAACTTCTATCTGGATCAGGTTAACCTCTAACCAGTGCTAGCCAAATGTTTTCTGTTCCTTATGATCTCCCATTTTAAATAATTTTAATAAAAATTCAGAAGAGATATCTTACTTGGTCTCCGTTTACTTCTCTTTAATCCATGACTTAATGCTATACCAACAAGTTCACAATTTAGCAAAGCCATTACCCTATTTCGTAAGTGGATTGAGAACAGAACAATTCATCACTCAAGATAACTAGCCAGCAACCAGTGAACATGTTTCAGAGTAGGATCTTGTAACTAAGTAGCAGTTCTTACTCCAGGTGAGTCTGCTCAAAAATATTTGAATAAGTCTTCTACTAGCTTCTGGTATAGTTTTGGAAAGTCAAATTTTCTGCTTTGCTTTCTAGCTGAGAAAGGTATAAAAATCCCACCCCCACCCCCCAAAAAACGTAACTCTGAGTCTAGAGACGTAAATTCTGAACCAAGCGAACCCATTCACAAATTGGTAGAATCCACAGTATAAATCACTCAATACCTCACCCTACCCAGGCTCAATTTCCCCATCCGCCAAGTGGTGATAACTGAAGCAGGCACAACCATAGGGTGAGGAGGCTTAAAAGAAAGAGCAAGAGGATTCTAAAATGTGTGAACGCGCTGGAATGAAAGAACTTTTACTTCGTTGCTTACCAGCAAAAAAAAACAAGAGGCGAGCATAAGCAACCCAAACTCGTTTGGTAACACTTCTCTGAACTCCAAGAAGAGTGACTGGCATATCGGGGCGGGGAGTCACGGGAATGCCATCCGAGCCCAACGTGGGCTGCTTCAGCTCTCACCCCCGACGGGAGACGCCGAGAGAGCTCAAATTCAACCCGGCTCCAAACTACCCTCCCAGCTAAAGGGGTGTCAGGGGAAGGGGCGGGGAGAAGGTTGGACACGCCGCTGCCACTTCAACTGAGCCACTCCTTGCGCCACCAGCGCCCAGGCCCACGGTGCCACGTCCGGGCCTCCGTCCACCCGCACATCCTCGGGAGGCCGTCGAGCTCGCTCCCCTGCAGCGCCCCTGGTGTACCACACCTCGGACCAAGGCGGCGAGGGAACAGTTAGGGCGGTTGGAACAGTTGCCCCAGGCTAGCCGCCCCAAAGCCTGGCCCGGTCCTGCCGGCGGGGCCTCAGACAGCCCCAGGGCCCGGCAGGCTCCCCAGGGACAGGCCTCGGAACCGCCGGCCGGCCAGGCACCCTCGGAGCGGCCCCGCAATGCAGGCTCACCTCCAACGTATCAAAAGCGCATATTCGCGGCCACCCGACCAACGTCTCCACTCTGCTGGCCTAACCAGGCCCGCCCAGCAGCTCAGCTCCGCTCCCCTCTGCAGCCCTGAGAACCACTCCGTGAACCTCCGCGCCGGGCTCCTCCCCGACACGTCAGGGGCTGCCTGGGTGTCCGAGGCCATTCTGTGACGCACGGGGGCGGAGTTCGGAGCATGCGCACGCGAGCGTCTGCGCTGCCTGGGCGGGGCTGTGGGAAGGATGGCGTCACAGGGGCCAGGCCAGCGCGCTGACGTCTGGCTGGCAGGGGCCCGTGCGCAGGTGCACCTGAGCTGCGCTGTGCGGGAATTCGGCTTTACGTATTCCCCTAAACACACAGCTGTTCGGGAAGTGGCTCCCTCATTCATGAGAACCGATCTTCCAGTTTTTCAGCCACCAAGATCCTTCGAGTGTATATTTCAGTATTCCCGTTTATGAAATGAATCTCGGTTAAGATTTCGCCTCCAAGTCCGCCCTGACCACCCAATAGAATACCAGATATTCTTGTCCTCCCTCATCACTCTCACAAAGACCGATGTTGTTTTTAGGGCACTTCCTATAGCTGAAATTTTATGTTTCTTGTGTTCCTAGTAGAATGTAAGTTACATGAGAGCTAGAACCTATACTTTTTTTTTTCTTTATTGATTTTAGAGAGAAAGTGAGAGGGAAAGAGTGATAGAAATATCGATGACAGAGAACATCAATTGGCTGCCTCCTGCATGGCCCCGCTGGGGATGGGTCCCACAATCTGGGCA